TTCCATAGGGTTCAGAACAGCATTAAAATCCCCTCCAATAGCCCAAGGAAATCCTGCCACCCTCCATCTACATAATTCTCTATATGTACCAAGTCTTTCCCCTTCATCATTAGAACCATAAACCACTGTTAAGAAAAACTGCTCTGTTTTTGTAATCGACACCAAAGCATGGATAAAAAAGGCACTGCGAGCAAGTATTCGCAATTGTACACCAGACTTCCACGCCAGCCAGATTCTACCCAACTTATTGTAAACATAGTTATCTGCAAACTGGAAATCCAAAAATTTCTCTTGTATCTGCTTTGCTTTACTCTCCTGTACTCTAGTTTCAAGTATTGCCAGGACTACTACTCCTAATCTACGCACACACTCCATCACAGAGCTGTGCTTCGAGGGGCGATTAAACCCCCTCGCGTTCCAAATAAGAACAGTCATTTCAGTAAAGGAGGTACCAGAGGCACCCCTTTCTGACTTCTTAGCCCCTCTCTACTCGGCTTAGCAGGTGGTTTCTGCAATTCAATTCCTCTAGCACAAATAGCTGCAAACGAATTAGACAGCTGGATAGGAGAGACAAGTTTACTCTTCTGCTTACCCCCATTCACTACCAAGTTGAACTCCTCATTTGAAGGTAGTGCACTAGGTGTGACTGGAGGAGTTTCTTGCTGTATAACCTGCACGTCCACAACTACCTCCTCCCCAATAGCTGCAACCTGTTGAACCTCCAGAGAAGAATCCTCCTGACTCAATACCTCAGGCAAGCTTACTGTATGATGCTGCTTCTTTCTCCAGACTTTCCTTGTTTCACCCTGCGGGACAGCACAATTATGCCCAAAGACACCACAAGTATTGCACACGGCAGGTACATGACAATACTCCACACTAATGAACATTTCCTTCATAGAATCCGGAGTTATACTGATCTTCGATGGCCATGTTGTCTTTGCACTTATCTCAACACAGATTTTCGCAGCTCCAACTTTGTGACCAAATCTCGTCGGTTGATCCATACAAAGAGGCTTACCAAGCACACTGGCTACTCGACCCAACCCCTCCTTGGACGAAAGCTCCCCAGGCAGCCCAGACAGCTTTACCCAAATCGGCACCGCCTTATTTTCGACCTCCAGCGCCTGGATCCCTGGCACCCACTTCCTTACACAGAGCAGATTATCCTTATAGTGCCAGGGTCCTCCCTCAAATACCCATCGATAAACCTTCGCCGACGGGAATTGTAAAAGAACCAAACGATCTTCAAACCATGATACCCGAATTTCCCCCTCCTTCCCCCACAGCCAATTTGCCCAGAAACGAATTGTTGCCAGGGAAGGTGGAGATCGAAGGAATTGGCCTACCAAACAGTTGTCGAAGCGCTTGGCCCCCTCCTCCATGACGGATTTAGGGATTCTGAGCGACCCATCCACGATTTCCGGCTCAAAATACTGCAGTTGGTTGTCAGCAGCTGCGCCAAACAGAAAAGTCCACGAGCGACCGCCGCCAACGGCGCCAGAGGAGGCTCCGTCAGCGACGGCCGCCATCAGCAAATCGGAACTCGTCGACTCGATCAGAGAAAAGAGAGAGAGAGAGAAGAGAGAGAGAGAAAAAGTTTTACATAAACCTAATATCGTATATAATTTTTTTTTTCACCAAGACGCTCAAATTTATTATCTTATACAACATATATCAATTCATGCTTATCGAGTTTGTACGAACTCTCACCCAATTAATCAGAGTTCAAATTATTGGAAAACGATACTTAATTACTGGATAAATTATATTTATCTCAATTGAAATTTGACACACATTGTATCCCTTATAATGATTAAATTCTCTAAAACTCACTCATTTTTATTGTTGATGTTCATGAAGTTTTTATATAGATTACAATATATATATATATATCAATTGCTAATATTTTAAGTTTGGACTAACCCTCAACCCATGTCTTTTGTCTAGATGTTCGTTTAGAGCCTGAATCCAAGGCATTCATATACACTATCGAAGGTTTCATCTTAACATGTTCCTTCAATGTATAATTTTTCAACTATTTGAATGTCCATTCTCTAAAATTTCTTTATATTTGGTTTTTGTTATAGAACAAAAATTTCATTACTTATATTAATAATTGGTAAAGTGTGTATACTACAAAAAAATATTTCAGGTGCATTCAAAATTATGTATTCCTTGTATAATTAACTTATATATTTTTAAAAAAATATTTTGTAGCAAAATTTAAAAGTTCATAAAAACATTGTGGCTTTTCACATGTATTTAAATTATTGGATGTATTGTAGACACATCCATTGTTAATATCTAAACATATATATACAGAGAGTTTATTTTACTTTCAACACTAATTAATACCTTTGAACTCACTCCTTGGGTGGAATATATATCAATTTATTTTGTTATTGCCAAAATTTGGTATGAAATTACAGGCTCACAACTATATAGACTTGTTACAATTTTCTTACTAAACTCATATTTATTAAATATTCTTCTTTTGACCCAATAGCTCGGTTTACACTATTGTAACTATAAATGTTTTTTTATATATGTGAATTAAAACGTTAATGTTTATTTATTACCTCAATCGTCGAATTAAGATTTTTCTTAGCATGAAATATGATGTTTAACGTACATCATTAACAAATATTTCTCTAAATTTCACACATTTCATTTTTCCAAGAGATCTCGTGTCTCATCCTATAATATGAAGTCAAAGTTCAGCAACTATTATACTCAAGTCATTTTGGAAACTTCAATTTATAATCTTTAACAATAAATAACTCCAAGTCTGAAAAGAAAATTTCTAAGCATATGATGTAACACCTCAATAGAGCTTGCTCAATCAACATGACCTAGAGAAAATATTAATAATGTGAACTTAGGATACATTATAAATACTGCACATGTGATTCATATGTTTTCACTTGATTAGAATGAATAAGAAGCTTTTTTGATAAATAACTATTATTTCTTTGTCAAGTTTCTTTTAGACCTTATCGACAAAATATTATTATTTTGTTTAAATTATTCATTAAAATGTAAATTATTATTAAGTTTTAGAAAAAATGAGCAGAAATTTACATAGTAATCTTTAATCATATATATTTTGGTTTAAAAAGTGATATATATATATATATATATCACTCTATATACATTAGTATACTGTTGCGTACATCGATATAATGCAAAAACAAAATGTGATATATATCACTCTTCATCATGATTGTCACGTCGGTCGGCATGCCACCGGTTGAACCATTCAACCGGTACCGGTCATGTAATCGACATGACACCATCGGTATGACCGGTATGATCGTTTTACAAATTTCCAAGTAAAATACGTAATTTTAGTGAATTTAAGTATGAGTACATGTAATTTTAGTTGAAATATCAATATGAATTGTACGTAAATTGTCTTCAAATATGATTTATCTATGATTAAATTCAATTGATATTAATGATTTTTTTATATTTCTACATATTTTATTAACCGGCATGAACCGATGCGAACCGGTTGCACCACTGGTAAAACCATTCCACTTGCTAAACCGGTTTGATAACCTTTCTCTCCATATATTATTTATAGATATAATGCAAAAATAAAAGCAAAATAATTATCGGATAAAAGAAAATTAAATATTAAATGAAGAGAGAGGGACAACTCCATAAATAGATCAATAACTATTTTTTTCTTCAAAAAATTGTCCACCTTGGCAACTTGAGATCTCTCCAAGTGCTTATGTGGCAAAAATTTAATTTTGAATTGCCATAATATTATGTATAGATAGATAGATAGATAGATAGATATAGATACTGATACAGGGGCGGACCCAAGGGTGTTTGGGGGTGTCTCGGGACACCCCTAAATTTTGGTAAAACGATCTTCCAACTCTCGGTGGTAATTTATGTATGAACAAAAAATTATAATTGATAGTGGGAGACACCCCTGAAATTGGATAAAATGATTATCCTACTATCATTTTTAGGTTTGCGTATGTGAATATAAGAGGTAATTTTGGTTAATTCAAACCTAGAGCACTATTATTAATCATAAAGATAATTTCTATTAGGCTACAACTCATTTGTTGTTCAATTATAAACACGGTGTAATAGTAAAATGTCATTTTCGATCTCTAACTATTTTTAAAATCTAATAATTAAACTAATTTCAAGCTACCCTTAATTTGTATTGATTTTATGGTTGTAGGACAAGTGTTGAAAGAGTATTTTCAACTTTGGGTTACATAAAAAACAAGTTTAGAAATCGAATATGTCATCATTTCGTTAATGATTGTCTAGTAGAATATACATAGACAATCTTTTTGAGCTGTATAGATACCAAATGTATTCTACAACTATTTCAAAATATGAAAACACATCGTGAACTTTTAATTATAATTATTTTCATATTGAATAATTATTTATTTATTATAATTATTTATTTATTATAATTATTTTCTTTTATTAAATTTATTTTTTAAAAAATGACACTCCTATATAAAATTTCTAGGTCCGCCACGGTATAGATAGATTACCACTTTAGAAATCTAGATTAGATTCATCTTAAACCGTGAGAATAAAACGGGTGTTTCTCGGCAACCTTTTCCCATATTAGTTTGCTACTTGTTTCCGCCCCATAATCCATGTTTGGCTTTACACGGCTTTCTTGGTCTAAATTTCATCATCTTGAAAACATGATCTTCCACCAATTCCATTTCCCACCAACTAGGCGCACTCAATGCCAATGGTAGGGTGGACCAATAGGACGAGCAATTTGGATAAGATCTCAGTCCGTCCGAGTATGTGAATGTGAGATTGCCAGATATTTTTTTTTTCCTATCTGGATCACGGATGCAGCCACCTAGTAAGATATTTTCTGAAGCTAAGCTTCTATATATATTATTATGGCCCCCAACCAAAGGAAACCCAAAAGAGCATTCATTCATCAGGAAAGAAATATGGAATGCTGCAGCAGCAGGCCAAATCGGAGCGACGCCCATCTGTCGGCGGAGCAGGAGGCAGAGATTGAGCAACAAACCAGAGGGTACTTCGATGGAGTAGCTCCCAAGCGCCACACCAAGCCCCAGCGGAGCGACCCTTCCTCTGCTCAATACGTCGATTCTGCTGCAGTCAACGGCGACCCCTCTATCCCGGAGTACGTCGAGTTCCAACGCCTCGAGGATGTCGACACTCAGGTACTTCCCTTCATTCATTTCATTTAGATGGTTTGGTTTGGTTTGGTTTCCTTTCTTCTTTCTTGCTTCTGATTTTGTGTCTTTGGGAATGGCAGAAACTGGGCGGCAGTGGAAGAAGCGAGGAGGGCATGGGGGAGGAGTTTGTGGAAACAGACTACTATCAGGATCTCAACTGCGTCGACAAGCAGCATCACACGGTAACCACTGCCACTAGGAAGAAGATAATGCTGCCTGTTATTATATTATACAACTGCTGCATGTATATAGTATACCAAGAATAATGCAATTGAGATGTTGCCTAAAAAATGATGCAGACAGGAACAGGGTTCATCAAGATGGAAGGCAAAGTCAACAACTTCAGCTTGGCACCTGATGGTGATGATCAGCACCATGCCAGCAGCCACAGGGGCAACCCAGCCACCAATGAGTGGATCCCTGACACTGCCCATGCTCCTGTATACCCTCTCTCTCCACCTGCTTCTGCTTTCTCCATCACTGACATTTCGAGTAAAGTGACACTTTTTTCGGGGTGTGGTTGCAGGTTATTTTTGATTCAGATAAACCCAGAAGAAGCGACAATTGATATCAAGTCCGCCGCTGTTGATGCTCCACGTCTCATTTGCGGCTCTGTTCCAGTGCACGACTCTTGATCTTGGATGTGTGTTAGTAGTTTTCATGGGTGATTCCTTTCCTTTTATGATGTGCAATAAGGCAGCAGCTCCTACCATATTTGTGGGAAGGATCGTGTCGAGTAGTACTACTGTTAATCCCGTCTTCTTTGAGGTTGGACGCTATCTATTTACAATTCGGAGGTATCAATGGTGGCACAACCAATTCAATCAATTTGCACAAGTGCGCATTTCTGCGCTGGTGAAAGATGATTAACTGGACTTCTATGGATTCGGATAGTGGATGGATCCGCTTTGAATCGATGTTAAACCAGTTCATAAGGGCAGAGCCCTGAACTGAGCATCTCAACTAGGAACCAAAGCCAAGTGCGTAAAAAATCAATTAGTTAATTGCACAAAGATTGGGTAAATCCTAACAGTTAGGACTCAGAATTAGCAAAGGGGAAGAATGAATGCTAATGTCATCTGAGGATGGAACTTGTAGCGGGAAGATTTAACAGAAAATAATATATCACCGGGGAAATTTTTGTTAGACAGATTGTGAAGAACATGAATTTACATTTGCCAAGGCAGAGTAGTTTTGGTTAAACTTACACTCCGGTGATGTACAAGCTAGCTGCAAAAACGATGTCCCGCTTGATTGCATTGGAGGCTAAATCCATCTTCTTGTAGAGCGCGGAGTTGCCCATTATGGAAGCGGCGTTCTTGAATTCACGGCACGTCTCGTCCAGCCTCACAATGGTCCGTACAATCAGTCCCTCAGGAACATCAGTCAGTTCACAAATCTCGGAAAAGGGAGTACCCTGCCCACCAACGATTGATTTTCAGCAAATCAACAAAAATATGCAAATCGGCGAGAACATCTCATCTGCCACTACAAATCATTTCAAAAGGGTTATTATTATCAGGGTTGCCTGCAAGCTAACCTTTGCCCACTCATACACGACTTCAACAAGACCAAACTTCAGATTTTCCTGGGCGTACTCCTCGGGGCTTATCTGTAGGTTATGCCCGGCTTGAAGCTCTCCCAGCCTTATAGCTGTGTTGTACAATCTGATCCAAATATGATCAATGAGATGTCAGTCATAAACCCTGCAATACATTATAGAAACAAATATCCTGAAGTTCTAGTACAACTTCGATAAGAAACAATAATTGATACTAGAGAATCAATCACCTTTCTTTTGCTTGTTTGAGTTTTGGTGTCAGTGAAGGATCGGAAGTATTCCTCTGCTGGAACACAAAAGCAGACATAATCGCTACAGCTTCCTCGGGTTCCAGGTCATCAAGTTGATTTTCAAACAAGCATTCCGTGCATATCAATTCCTCCCCTGAGTTCATCTCGCAAGCAACACGGCCTTTGATTTGAACTACATGGTCAGCATCAATGCACCCTATGTCCTTCAGCACATCTATCTGCAAAATGGCACATCCAGAAATGATCACAACTATGTATGCAATAAGTAAAGACACAAAACCAACTAATTCAAAGAACTACATTGATGAATTTCTGCAGAACACATAAATGGAGCAGTAAAATCCACGTTGCCATGGCATACCCGGCCTTGAAAATCCGGCATCTGTTTTAGTGCTTCATCTGAAAGTTGATACTGCAGAGAATCAACTTCATCCTTGTGGCTCTTTATCTCCTTTGCCAAAGCCATGTGTACCTCCAACTTTATGCACCCGTGGCATTTATTCATGGCCATCTTTTGCAGTAGGTTTGTCCATTTTCCATATGCTTCCACAAGATCGACATCCTTCAACTTCAGGTCTAAAGAGAAACCATAATGGGCCCATTAGCAACCTTTCACGTGATCAATTAGCTAATGGGGAAAGGTCACCCACTACACAAGATCTATGATAAGATTAATAATCAATTAAATCAACTCAAGTAAAAATGTTGCCAAACAGGACGTTGAATAAAAGATAGAAAAATATATAAAAAAATCACTGATTCTATCAAGTTTTTTTTTTTTTTTTGGATCATCACTGATTCTATCAAGTTATCCTGATGATCTTCTGCAGAAAGTAAATGTAATCTCAATGAGGCAAAGGTCTTACCTTTTATTGGATCTAGGGGTGGAGGATACTTCCCATCAGTTCTATGTTTCGACAGCTCTTGAACTGTCTTAGAGAAAGCTGCACTGTTACCATCTTCAAGAAGCCGAACTTGGTCAATCTTTAGTTTACGATCACATATGCTCAAAAATTCTTTGCTATCCATCTCTCTGACTTCGAAGCTGAAACCAGCTGCAAAACCCTGATATGGTAATTTTATGTTCACAGCTCCTGAAGCTTTCCGAGAGCCAGCTGAGGTTAAGTACTGTTCATCAAACCCACGTTTTGATTTGGGCATCAACATAACAGCCTGTGGGAAATCACTGCCCTTTTGTTCTTGCATGTTACCACTACTTGAGGAGATTTGCAATGATTGTGGTAAATCAGGTTTCAGCACCAAGACTATGTGTTTCATTGTGGCTGAAGGAGCTTTCAGGACCACTCCAAGCAAATGATCTTGTGCCTGTTGATTCACATTTGAAGACTTTAACAACCAAAGACCATGTATCATGCCAAACATTAGAGATCATTAGAATTGTAGCAATTAACCCCAACAAGTTTTAACAGAATGCAGATATGACTAGGGATTGCAATTATGCCCATACCCATGGGTATTTTACTATCCAACCTAATTGGGTTGGGTATGAAATCCAAATATATGTATATGGGTAAAGTTTGATGGGTTTGTACCCATACCCATTTACTTTGGGTTGGGTTGGGTTTATAACAAATGGATTTGGGTTTGTACCCATGCCCAAATACAAATTACAGTTTGGTACCTAAACTTAATAGATATGCATATTTAGTGCCTAAATTTAATTTTTTTGCATATAAGTCCTCAAAATATCGATGAAAAATTACATTTTGGTACCTAAACTTTTTTGGTCTTACATTTTGGTACCTAAATTTTTCAAATTTTACAAATAAGTCCAATTTTTGCATGTGTAGTTAAGACACCCTCAAGTAAATGGATATCCATATCCAACCCATACCCATTTAGATAATATCCATATCTAACCCAAACCCATATGCAAACCCCAAACCCATACACACATCACCCAAACCCTACCCATAATAGATGGGTCTACTTGGGTTTGGGCAAAATTACCCATGAGTGGGTAAATTGCCATCCCTAGATATGACCATTATTAAGGGGCAATTTTGCTAAACCAAAAGCAACAACAACTCACTGATTGTGATCTCACAACAACCACTCTTCCAGGGTTCAGAAATTGTAGAGCAGCAGACGACTGCATAACTGCAACCGATATTTGGTCATCATAATCTTGAGCTTCTAAATGTATCTGGTAATACTCTTCAATTGATGGTTCGCCTTTGATACAACTACAAAATAAGAAATTGATTTTTATGAGAGAACAAGAAGTTCTAGAATCGTTGGGAATTCAGCATACTCATATAGTCAAATGTTTGATGTTGGCTTCTGTTACTACTGATGCTATATTTGTGACGACAAAGACTGTAAAACGTTACATTAAGAGATCGTAAGATGCATTCCACCCCCTCCATCTTTAAATATGTACAAATACAAGAACATGATCCCAAACCTTCAAGAAGAGGATAAAAATCCAAGTTCAAAATGCAGGAACGGTGGTGGAAGCTCAATCGTAAAAAAAGACAGCTGCTGAAGAGACCAAAATTTCTCCGAGGCAACAGAGCACAGATACATGAAACAACACATCTGGGGTTGTTTCACAACCATGTATGGTTGATATGGGATTGTAAAAGTACTTGTAATGTCAAAATGTAGTGTTTGGTTTGCTAATAATGATGTATTTGTATTAAATCTAGTAAACCTGTCGTGTTCCAAATATGCCCCTCCCAATAGGATTAAGGGAGTGAAGAAGAGAGGTCGAACTAAATTTTCAAGAGATTGTATAGTGATCATGGATAGCTGGTTAATATTCATATAATACATTTATAGTAATAATGTATGTATTATGATTTTAAAATTCCCATCCATGGTTATTACTAAATCATCTGATTTTTCCATGTTGGCTTGTTGTCTCTTATACTAAACGTGTACATGATACAAGAACGAATTTAGCTGCTTATTAAATTATTATTAATATTTTATCTAATTTTAAATTAATTTTAATATTATACAACTAATTTCAAAATTTTAAGCGTATTGCTAAATGACCTATCATATGTAGTGATCAACACATCCTCCCAACAAGCACACAAACCAACAAACCAAAAACGAAAGCCTAATCTACACAGGGCAAAGCTACAGATAAGGTCTCTCGACCGTAAAAAGAAAAGTTCTGCAGAGTTGCTAGGGCACTTACTCAATAGTTTTTGTAGGCAGAGCAAGCTTCCGCAGAAGTAGTTGTTGTTTTTCAGGAAGTTTTCTCTGAGCATGGAACTCAGCAAAACTTCTCTTCAGCATATCCTCCACCTGCACTTACACTTCTCTATCAGCCAAAGCATGAAGAAAGAAAATATCGACAGCAGATTCCATGTCCAATAGCTAATTTGAAATGTCTGAATAAAGAAGCCGCTAGGTCCATAATCTAGAATCAAATTCTTTCAACACATTGCAGTTCTAAAAAATTCCATGGAAAAAATGAACACCTTGAATTCACTTATGTAATGACTTCGTAAGCCTGAAATATGCCAACTGACCCTCATGTGAGAGATGGTCTAACTTGCCCAGACTTTAGTGCAACTATGAGAGATGGTCTAACTTGCCCAGAATTTATTTTACGTCTTAATTCAGTTGATGCTCTGCAGATTTAGTTTGAGTAAGACTGATCCCGTTTTATGAGAACTCAATGGAATCAAAACTGTTATAGAAAGTACCAGTGACATAATATACCATCTGGAAGAATTTGTAGAAGAGATCCATTTCCTTTTAGCACCGTATAGGATGAGACAATTTAACTGTCTAGCAGTTCTGTCTGCCATTCATGGTACTGGACAAGACAACCACAAAATGAACAAGAGGAAACCCATACCCATATCACCAGTCACTGAACAGAAACTTAACTGTTTTTTGCATAGCTCTTTTTGGTGGAGTGTAGTTCACACTTCCAAAACAGTAAAATTGCAAAGGACTTACCCATAAATGCATTTGTTCCATATTTACACTGTTCCACATAAAGCAAATGCTAGGTAAGAATTAAGAGCAGTCATTTTAGAGTACCTTTAATTCTTCAACTCGAAGAAGATGCAAGATCATAATATACGTCAGTCGAAACTGAGATTCAAGCCTCGTAGCACTCCCAACTATTATGCGTCTTAAATCACTATCATCGGGAATCTCATCGCGGCACAAAACAACTACTGTACCAATTTTGTCAAGGCCCCTTCTCCCAGCACGGCCAGCCATTTGAGTGTATTCTCCAGGGAGTAAATGTCTGAATTCCTTGCCATCAAACTTTCTCAAAGAATCAAATATAACCTGCATATTCCAAAGAGAACAAAAATTGGATACTTCAGAATTCTTCCCAGTAATACAAGGATTTATTTATGACCCTTCGTAGCCAAAGCAGATGCTTCACTTGTATATTCTATGACCATTGATAGGTAAACCGAATAATACAAATTTTCAAGATTAAAACTATGATGTTATCACCAAGACATCAATGTTTCAGATCCTACAAGGGACGGGATCTCACTATTCCCCCTCCACCCCCTCAAAAAACAAAGAAGAAAAAAACAGGACAGATGTGTGGGTGTACAAATGGACTATTTAGTTCTTCTCAAGTCCCTCGCTAGTTTAAATGCCTGTCTTTGCTAATTACAGTTTCATCAACCAAGGGATCGTGAAGGCTTCTGCAAAAAGCATCAGAGATCTTCCCAATACAGCAGACAGGGGGGAATACAATTTGCTTCAGGAATCAACTCTTGCATGCAGCAGTTGTCCTCATTCTCGGTATATTTTGTTTTATGATTTTAGGTGTGGTACTAAGATGTTGAAAAGGAAACACCTCATCAAGGTCACGAGTGTGATCTCATGAAAGATAATATGTCTGTGAGCACCAAGCACACATGCTATCCTTCACCCTCTAATCATGGTGATCCTCTATCTCATATCTCACCAATTTTATCTGATTTGCCCAAAGGATCCTCTAACTCTATCTTAATGAGCACTTACAGCCCGATTCATGTGATTAAAACAGCCCAATACTATGAGCCAGCCACCCCATAAAATAAAGGTTATCAACAATTTTCTCCAGAATTCCTCAACCTTCATTAAAAATTGACCATCCCTCTTACCAGAATCAAAACCTAGGAATCCCTTATCTTGTTAAGTTCAGAACTGCTAGCAAGATTTGACATTGAGTCTGAATAGAATACAACGAATGCTGTCATACCAGACATCTCTTTCTCAAGTCATGAGGATAACAAAACCGTACTTCTTCCGGGCAGAAGACCTTTTGTAGATGTTAACACTTTAGTAAGCAAGATAGCAGTTGGTTTACTTGGCTCAAGATATTCAAGCAAATCATGTAAAAACCACGTAAACTTACTGATATTTACAATTTTCACTTCTGCTATTGCCACACTAAGAACTATCATCACAACAAAGAGAGAACAGAGCACTCACTGTCCTAGCTGGGGCATTAACCCCCATGGCAAATGTCTCCGTTGAAAATAAGACCTACAACACGAGGACGAAACGTTAATAATCACTTCAGAACAAGCAAACATACAGGATCAACATCAAAGGTTGAGGTTTTTATTTGTCATAATAATAATAATTAGAGTCTCCACATAATAATTTGAATTACTGTAGCACCTTAATCACTCCTCGGCAGAACAGCATTTCAACAACCTCCTTTACTATTGGAAGCAGACCAGCATGGTGCACACCGATCCCTCTTTGCAAAAGGCCTTGAACTCTTACAATCTGTGAGTCAAATTATATCCATGAATCAAGGTAATCAAGTTGATAATATTCAAAAGCCTAGGCCATCATACCTGTGGTAAATCACGATCTGATCCCTTTAGTCGCGAAAATGCCTTGTCACAGAAAACACGGATCTCACTTTTCTCGGAACGATTCGTAAGGTCAGTCCCAGTTAAGCTATCAGCAGATCTATCACACCAATTCTTTGAGAAGCAAAATACAACTACCTACGGTACAAGAAACATCTAACATCAGGGAAAAAGTAGGCAATTTCTGTACTACAGTTATTACTTGAACTAATTCATGTAAACATTCAATTAAATACAAGACATATCGGGTTCACTTAAGGAAAAATTAAATTAAAAAAGAACTGAACATTAATCATTTATGGCCATGGGGTAAACAACCAAATTGTGATTCCAAGGCAAACTCTATCACAGAAAATATTGGATTTGATAAGAAAAAGACTAATAAATATGTGTAAATGAAACATGACCTAACTTACAGGAAGCAAGGAGTTCTTTGAAAGCTTGTTAACAAGCTGCAACCACATTTGAGCCTCGGATCTCCTTGGACCCCAGTTAGACTGACCGGTGCCTCTGTTTTGATTTCCACGGTTTCCCATATTCTGAGGACCAGAATGCTTAGTCTGTTTGCCACGATTAGACAACTCGTGCTTTTGACCACGTCCTCCACTTTGCACAGCTGGAGACCCTGGTAGAGGTCCAGTACTTCCACCAGGAGTATTAGAGTTTTTCTTCTTCCATGCATCCTTAGCAGCTTTCAATCCCTGGGCTATAAGTGTTTCATTCTCGCATATTTTGTACAGCTCTCCTGAATAAAATATGCAATGCTCCAATGGCACTGGTCTTTTTGTTGTTCTGAACACACAAATATGCCAGTACGTCACTAAAATATGCCACGCAGCTCTAATAATGGGGAAAATGGCTGACATATACAAATACAATAGAGATCTAAGACTTCCCAACATTAAACAAAAGTTGATACAAACAAGAATAGGAGATGGTATTACCCAGTAAGACGAATATCCTTTTTCTTTGTTCTACTAATCCAGTCAGCAAATTCTTTAGTGTTCGGAACCTGCATATGAATTGCAGCAAACCTATGTCAATGTGATATATATAAGCTTGCAAGTGGACCTTTTGGGAAGTTGGATAAGCGAAATCAGAAGAAGATTCTTGATCCAAGAAATAGTTAGCTGACCTCCCTTTTTTGGACTTTGTTCCCCATAGAAACTGGCATTCATTTAGAAATAATTTTGATTTTCTTTGGGATAATAGCTTTCCTCGGCTACCTTATATTCTGGTAGGACAACATCATTACTAATATACTTCAGAGTTCCTTGGCAGTTGGCACAGAGTAACTTTCTAAATGTGTTTTCCAAGGCATGATTCAGTCAATATCAAATAAACATGGAGCACAGAAGCACTTCACAAATTTTTGTCATCACCTGATTCTAAATGCTTGATAAAAATAGTACATGAGCAACATCATATACAAACATACACGTTCAGGAAGTTAGCGTCAGCCATAAGAATCAGATGCATGCAAGATGTGTATCATGATTTCTCAAGGGAGGCCAGAAGGAGCACAAACAGCTGTATGGTTTCATTAGAGGGACACAGAAGCAAATTTACCGTTGCCGAGAGGAGGACGATGTTGACATGCCTTGGAAGCATTATTATAACTTCTTCCCAAACAACACCTCTTTCAACATCATTGACATAATGTACTTCATCAAATATTACCTATTCCACAACAGACCAAATTAAAGTAAGCTTGGGTGCAATCAAAGAAAATAAGAATATATAATTGAAGTTGATCGCAAACTGAAATGCGAACAGAACAAGAAAAGTATACCCATTCAATATCCCGTATGATATCCGCACCCCGATAGAGCATTGATCTTAATATTTCAGTTGTCATGATAAGACAAGAAGCTTCTGGTCTCAAACTAATATCACCTGTCAGAAGGCCAACATCAAACTTGTCACAAAAATCCCGGTACTTTTGGTTGCTGATAGTTTTGATGGGTGCAGTGTAGACGGCCCTGGTGCAGTGCTGCATGAATTTAAAATCTCGCAATGTCAGCAGAAACACCACTATCTTAAACCAATTTTAGGAGTTGGTATCAAGGATTGCAGAATTTCAGGAAAATATTCCTGACGAGAGAAGAAACTGGTAAGCACTGACTTACTTTAGATGCAAGTGCAAATGCATATTCTGCAACCACAGTCTTCCCTGCGGATGTATGAGCAGCAACAAATACAGATTCTCCCTTTTCAAGAAAATAGATAGCCTGTAGTCATCGTAGAACAAACATGACCATGCCAAACTGGCATATCAATCTCCAATCAAAAAGCCTCAGTCTTTCAGAAATACTGTCTGCTCTCAAAGCCAAAACGACTTAACTAAACGAAAGTTTTTGTTGCAATCATCATGTTGATATGTTTTTCGATGAAAATGAAGTTACTGAGAACATGACCACATGCCAGCAAGATCAATCACTCAATCAAGCTCACAACAAATGTAAGTTTTTCAAACCAATGCAGCCCATGCGAAGGACAAGGAGAGGACATGCAGGGAATGGAATGTGATCAAACAATTTTTTATCCCATACTGCATGCACTTCAAGATTCGAAAGGAATATATGCACCGATCCCCACCTCTTTTTGAAATGCATCCAATTCAAAAGGAAAATTGAGAGCCATGTCAGGCACGAGCTCATAGAAGTGCTTTGCAATCCAATCACTACCCCCAGTGAGAGACTGAACCTGTTGACAATCGAGGATTCAGACAAAACATACAATATAATCCACCACATAAGTTGACACGGATAATTCTAAAAAAAGTACCACTATCTAACAACAACCTCTTTATTTTGGCTTCCATCATCATTAACATTCCTGTCTGAACTGGTTGTCAATCCACCTGATTCAACAGACAGTATCTCCTCTAAAAGAGATGATTCAGGCTGGGTGGCATTGCTTGGCCCCTCAACCTTCACTTCAACATCTAAGACAGAGACATTGTTTGGTCCCTCAACCTCCACTTCACCATCTGGGTCTGACGATTCCTCTGCACACAAATGGTTTTCAAAATCGGCATTAGTATTAGCAAAAGAAAGCACAAGGGGTTTGCTACACAGGAGCATTGCAAGTTGGCAAGAGCAGCAAAAAAGACTATCCACGAACAAACTTCTCAAAGCTATCAGCAATATTTCCAAATAAAAAAGATGAAAGTTTGCCTCGGGGGCTCGAGGTTACATATAATATCACAACCAATCAAAACACAAGAAAGAAAACTAGAATATGGATAATCCACACCTTCTACCTCCAGCTGAGTAACATCACCTTCATCCCATGCCCTTTTAAATAAGTCATCAAACTGCACAGATAACTCGCCCTGCAGAAAATTCCATGAATGAAAAGACAACTCTCGAGACAAGACAATATATTAGGTAAAGATCATAATCTATCATTGCCTACCCAATTAAACAGAGAAAAGCCTCAAAACTCACCAATTTCTCGTCCGATGTGCTACTAATAGGAGTTTGGTCCTTGTAGACATTCCAGGAGCATGGATATGCCTTCAAAAATGGAACCATAGTTCTTAATTATCAGAATAATTACTGAATAAATAATAAGTTGCCTTCTAATGATTAGTACACGTATCAGGTAGATCACCTTAAGATCTCCCAAGTCTAGCCCGTTTTTTAGGCCTGGAGGAGTAGACAGAGCCGGGCCTCCATTCAGCAGTTCACGTACCCATTGCCCATTACGAGCACCATCAGGAATTGTTCTCTCTAAAGAATGACCATCATCCAAACCTCCAGGACGAAAGGGTCGATTATTGATGCTTCCTCTGACAAAATCCTTCGCAGGCCCAGTCATGCGTGGAAGAGGGCCATACTCTTGATCTCCAACAGTTAATTCTAACACATCCACCTAAAAAAACAAAACATGCAGTCCTCTAGAAGAAGTCAACATTTAGAAGCCTTCCAGTTACATCCCCCAAACCCCTATAAGAAGTCTAACAGGCAGGCAACTGATAGTAACGTCCTTTATGCTAGATTGAAAATATCAAGTAGATGTCGAAAAGAAGGAACACGTCTAGAGAGGACCTCATACCTCGACCGAATTGGGCTCCCATACTCCTTGTCTAGAACCCTTTTGGTTCCTTCTGAAAGGCAGCTCCCACGTTGGCACCACCACTGACCGAGGCTGTGATGGCTCCAACGGTACTTTTACCCTCTCAAACCAATCAAACTCCCATTGCCTCCCGGCTTTCTCGGCAGAGAATTCCTCCTCGTCTAACCTCGGCAACAAGTACCTTTCCTCTATATGCTCCTTTATAGATTCATAAGTTTCCTCAGGAAATGCCGGGGGCTGCCAGTCACAGTCACATAAGCATAATGCAATTTCAACATTCAGACACAATTGAAAACCCTAAATAGCAAGGGATACATCTGCTAGAAAACAAACAGTTCCAAGGTGGGGAAAAGGGGATAAGAAGTAAAAGAAAGTGCAGAAAACACGAATACAATGAAGCAGCAGGCATCGTAGGAGAAAGAGTAACTAACAAGAATGAAATCTGGGAGAGACTTGATTGGGTCGTCACGCTCGACGGTGGAGATAGGCTCCACCCGGAGGTGGCCGCTATGACCGGAGAAGCCGACCCGGAAAGAGAGCTCGTCGGTCGCCTGAATCCGATTCATGCCCGATTGTTGTCGGTAGGATTCGGGGCGGATTCAATCAGTTCACGAACGTGGTACTGATACGTTAGTTATCGTTCCGTCCGTCCCTCCGATATCATTTGAAAGAGGGTACGGTGTGTTGATCGGCGCAAGTTTTTTCGCGGGTTTAGACTTCAGACTCTGGAGTTTGGATTGAGTAGAGACTAGAGAGTAAGACCGATCACTTTGTAATTAGGGATGGGAAACGGTGAGCTCTCGATTAACCGTACCAGATAATGCGATCAACCGTCACTCAAAAGACCACCCAATTACGGGCCTTCCAAATGCGCCAGAAAAGGGCTACAACATGCATCATGGCTCCCTGATCAAGCTCTCACCACTCGAGTAACCTGCGCCAAAAGATCCCAACATTGCAATGGGGAAAGCAATCGCGAAGGGCCAGAAGGTTCGCCCCTTCCCACAACTCCACCGCTACTCGGCAGCGGAAGAAGAGATGTTCAAGAGATTCCCCCTCCTCCCCGCAGACTGAACATGGCTCCAGCCCCCCTACCCCCCGAGTACTCAGTGCCTCACCAGTTGGCAAGACACCGCGAACCATCTGCCATATAAAATACCGCAACTTGGGAGGTATGGGCGCCCTCCAAACCCTTTTCCATAGACTACGATCCCACACCTGCACTTTCGCCTTCACCCTTAACTCATTATATCTCCGTAGCTCCACTGCTAAGTGATAGCCTGACTTGACCGTATAGCGACCTGATTGCTCCCCATTCCAAACCATACGATCAGGCACCGGAGAAATAGGCAACGGAATAGCCAGAATAGCTCGGACACTATCCTCCTCAATTTTGTAACTTGTGAGCTTCTGTTTATATATTCTTGAGTTTGTGTGGTCACACTACCAGATCTCTTGCTCCTAATGTAGGACCACCTTCCTCTGCCCAGGAAACTTCAACAATATGATTAGACCATGGAACGTGCTTTTTAATCAGACCATTTGCAATTTCTGCAATCCAACAATTTGATATAATAGTTCACGTAAATTATTAAAGTTTGCAAGGTAGCCCAACACAATAGAGACACATCTCGTATAAGGATCTAAAAATACAAAATAATTAAGTTTTGAGTCTGTAAGTATTTGGAATAACTCATGTGGCCATTTCACTTCAACAGATGGGGCAGTGCAGCCGACTCTGTTGGCTGAAACGGTGCCGCTTCAGCAGCATTGCACGACACCGTTTGTGACCTCTGTTCTACGATGACGTTTCGCTCTTCCAAGTGTATCAAACACAAACAGCAAAGCAACAAATCAATCTGAAGGCCTTCTCATCTTCTCCTAGAAAAGGTCTCTACCTCATCGAGAAGCGCTTGGCACGATTTCCAGCTCCCCTGCTCTCAGTTCAGATCAAGGAGTAGGAGGCACCGCCTCTACAAAAGCTTCCAAGGCAGGATCATGATGAGTCCCCAACAACTGTCATCTTCTCCAAACGGCTCCATGACTTTCCTTGTATAAATTAGGTATTATCTTCAGCTAAGAGATTTGGCGGTTTGCAGTGAGTGAAATATTAGAGTGTTTCTTCTGCATTATGTCCTGTTGTTGCTTCAAGTAGCTTTGTCATATTGATGTCAATCTGGATGACTTAAAGTTTGGGAAGTAGTTGTCTTTACTGTGTTTCTAAAGAGCCAACGAGATTGGCTTGGCTAGGGTTGTGTCTGTAATCGAATTGTTTCTTTCTTTACTAGAATAAAATCATTTTGTTTTTCCTCAATCTGTCAAACTAAGTGTTGCTGAGTACTGTGCATCAAGAATTTCTCCTAATTCAAAATCAACAATTGGTATCAGAGCGGGCTCTTCAAAGGATTAGCAATCGCTGAAGAGGATCCGACCAGGATGACAAGATCATCATCTGCATCAGCTTCATATTCTGCAAGTACAAATCCGCCATGGTTCGATGGGACGGATTACACAGTCTGGAATAAGAGAATGATGATCTATCTATGCGGTATTGATGGAGATATTTGGGGAATTGTCCGCAAAGGACCCATCCCTATGGATGAATAAGATGACGAAAAGGGGGAAGATGAGCAAAGAATCTCATCTCAACTGGATTCAAGGGCAATGCACATTCTGTTCTCTGCCCTCTGTCTAGAAGAAAGGAGTCAAGTGGCTCAGTGTGAAACAGTTAAGGAAATATGGGAGTCTCTTCAGACTACCCACGAAGGTACGTCAGAAGTAAAAGAAAGTAGAATTGACATGCTATTAAATGAATATGAATCATTTGAAATGAACTCTGGAGAATCAATATCTAGTATGTATAAAAGATTCAATGATCTTATTAACAGGCTGAAAGGCTTAGGGAAAACATTTGCTACCAAAGACCTTGTTAGAAAGATACTCATAAGTTTACCTAGGGAATGGCTACCCAAAAGAACTGCAATAGAAGAAGCCAAGGATCTGAATGTGTTATCTATTGAAAGTCTAGTAGGTTCCCTGTTGAGTCATGAACAAGTGATCATATAAATGAACAAAGAAGACAATCGACGTAAAAAGGTTATTGCTTTCAAAGCTCAAGATTATGATAGTGATACAGAATATGAACTAGGGGAGGAATTTGAAAAGGAACTTGCTCTAATCGGTAAGAAATTTCACTGAATGTTACAAATGAAAAGAAACTTTCAATATAGGAAGGGATATAATGAGTCTAGACAGTTTAATAGACCTTTTGAATCCAGAAGAGAAGGTACTAAAAGACTATCCTTTAGGCAAAGTGATAGGAGTAACTTTAATAAATCACATGCTGAAAGAAACTCCTTTAGAATCTTTCAGAAACCAAATGAGGGACGAGAAAGGTTTAAACAAGAAAGTAAGGAAGACCACAAGTCTTCCAGTGAAAAGGATTTAACAATCTGTTACTACAAGTGTGGTAAGACAGGACATGTGAGATCCAAATGTCCACTAAACTCCAAGAACCAAGAAAGAGCATTAGCTGCCACTTGGAGTGACTACAGCTCAGAAGAAGAACTTGAAGCTAGGAACCTGGCATACATGGTCTTCGCCACCAAGTATGAGGAAAGTGATTCATCCTCAGACAATGAAGATCAGACACTTCCATCAAGTTATAAGGTAATCCCTGATTCTGACTCTGAAAACAGCATGTGTTTTAAGTCAAAATCAGATTTTCTGTATGTATTAAAGAATCTTCAGGAAGAATGTAACAGACTTAAAAGCAGATTTTGCCTACTGATGACTGATAATCATGCCATGATGAAACAAATTGATAGTTTAAAAAGGGAAGCAGCCAGTCAACATGAATATCAAAACCTGCTGCATAAAGAAATCTTTGATCTAAAAGAGGAAAATGAGAAATTAAGACAAACTTGTCACTGTGGTCAGTCAAAAACTGACATAAATCTGATAAGAAATGGTCTGCATCTCTCAAGAAGGCATTGACAGAAGAAATATCCCTTAAGGAATAGTGCCCACAACAGAAGATCTTCTAGAATTTGCACTTATCCCATATTCTCCTGGCAAATCGATCTTGCAAGCATTGTTTCCAACCTTCGAAATCACTTGGAAGGGACCTTCACTTCGAGGTAGCAGCTTGGATCTCCTTTGATAAGGGAACCTTTCCTTTCTCATGTGCACCCACACCCAATCTCCAGCTTCAAATGATCGAGGCTTCCTATTTCGATTGACGTTCTTCATGATTTGCTCCGTCCTTCTCTCGATGTTCAATCTTGCTTTCTCATGGAGATTCTTCACAAATTCGGCCCTCTTTGCTCCATCCATGTTGACTTGTTCCTTCAATGGCAGAGGTGTCAAATCCAATGGTGTAAGTGGATTGAACCCATACACGAGCTCGAAAGGCGAATGCTTTGTGGTTGAATGCACAACTCGATTGTAGGCAAACTCAACATGTGGTAGACAATCTTCCCAAGTTTTGATGTTGCTCTTGATCACGGCTCGTAGCATTTGGGATAGAGTACGATTGACCACTTCAGTTTGTCCATCCGTTTGAGGATGACAAGTTGTCGAAAATAGACGCTTTGTGCCGAGTTTACTCCACAACGTCTTCCAAAAATAGCTCAGAAACTTTGCATCTCGATCGGACACTATGGTACGCGGCATTCCATGCAATCTCACGATCTCCTTGAAGAACAAATCAGCCACATTGTTTGCATCACCCGTCTTATGGCATGGAATGAAATGTGCCATCTTCGAGAAACGATCCACCACCACAAAAGTTGAATCCCTACCTCTTCTTGTCCTCGGCAATCCTAGCACGAAATCCATTGAAATGTCGACCCATGGTGCATAAGGAATAGGTAGGGGTGTGTACAACCCAGATGGTTGCATCTTCGATTTAGCATGCTGGCACTCCACACATCTTGCACATAAATTCTCCACATCTCCTTTCATGTGAGGCCAATAGAAGTGCTCTTGCAAACAACTCAATGTCTTGGCTACACCAAAGTGAGCCATCAATCCTCCTCCATGAGCTTCCTTCAACAAAAGCTCTCGAAGTGATGTTCTAGGTATGCACAATTGATTACCACGAAAGAGATAACCATTACTTCTGTAGAATTTTCCTTCTCCATGCTTCTCACAAGCCTTATAAGTCTCTCCAAAGTCGAAATCCCCATCATAAGCACCCTTGATTTGCTCAAACCCAAGGTACTTAGCGTCCATAGTAGTGATCAATGTGTATCTCCTCGACAATGCATCAGCAACCACATTCTCCTTGCCTTGTTTGTACTTGATTACATAGGGAAACGACTCAATGAACTCCACCCAACGAGCATGCCTCTTGTTCAACTTGTGTTGGGCCTTCAAATACTTAAAGAGACTCATGATCGGTATGAATCACGAACTCTTTTGGCCACAAGTAGTGTTGCCATGTCTCGAGGGCTCGAACCAATGCATAGAGCTCCTTATCATAAGTGGGATAGTTAAGCGTAGCCCCACTCAACTTTTCGCTAAAGTAGGCAATATTAGGCTTCTTCTCTTGCATCAACACGGCTCCAATTCCCAATCCTGATGCATCACACTCCACTTCAAAACGTTCTGTCAAAATCAGGTAGCATCAGAACAGGAGCATGAGTGAGTTTGTACTTGAGTAGCTCGAATGCCTTCTCTTGATCTTCTCCCCAATAAAATGCCACATTCTTCTTGATAATAGATGTCAATGGG